TATCCAAAGTGACTTACAATTGAGGTATACAACCAGCGATTCATCATAAAGAGGCAAATTAACAACAGTAAAGGGATATTTTAATAATTAGCCTGACCTGTTAGTCAACTTGTACATGAATACAGCAGGTCAAAACCGTTGTACTGTCAGGGGCGTAAGCATCAGCCTTTCCTGGTCTTGGCTGGTTTAATCTGATTTTGCTAAATGAGCTGTTTTTATAGACTTCACATCACTGTAAAACTCTTTCCAGTTAATGAGGATCAGTAATCGTCTGTGATCTCTCAAACTAATGGTTTATAATTTTGCTGTCTTGAAGGAAATTATGCTTTGGAATTATCTCTACAGCAATATTCCCGATGGATACATCCTAAAAGGAATCAAAGTAATAAAAATGTGATGTTTATAGGTTTTGTTTTACATGACAAATGTGTAATGAAATCAATATAGCTACTGATTGGTCAGTATAGCTACATCAATATACCAGGGAAACAATTGTTCTCTACTGTATGTGCAGCACTCATATATAACCTAACACATTATATCCTGTAGAAAAAGTTTACATTTTCTTAATAAAATAACACTTTACCAAGTTATGTCTATAATATTTTATTATGCAGTCACTGTTTTATAAAAGCAATATTGTGAATAATCATAACTAATGCAGTTGCAGGCACTCCAGCATGCCGAACAATGTCTTTAACTATGACTGTTTTTACAATATAGCACTTTATGTGTGTGTTTGCAGGCACAGGACGGATGTGTTTGACATGGCTCGTTTGCGTATGCCTGTGCGAGGCCCCTCCGCCCGTGGCACTGAGCCAATCAGCTCAAAGGGAGCCGATGACATCATGTACAGGGGTAAGAACTGACTAGCTAATACCAATATTAATCTGAGCTATGAGGATTATAAATATTAGTTTACAAGTGTTTGTAGTTCCTTGTGGCCAATCATACTAAAGTCATTTGTAGTCAGCAAGAAATAAATATTGTGACTTTGAAATGAGAGCTTAATTAATGTTTGATCTTATGTAAATCCATCTTTTGTGTAGAACTGACACCTTTTTTTTTTTTTGGTCATTTTTCCAGATGCCTTTATGCCTCTTCCTAGAACACGGCAGTCTGTAAGTTTTCACCTCTCACTATGAATGTAAGGCGTGCTTGTTATTTCCGTTGTGTTCTGCAGTACTAGAAGCAGCTCCATCAGTACTGAATGATGTTTAACATGACAGTTCTGTGTTTCTATCACACAGAGGAACAGAGATGTTGAGGGGGGACGAGGATCTGTGCTTCTGTCAGAAAGTGAATTTATTGGTGGGATCACACATTTCTTTAACTGTTTGATGAGTGTAACCAAAAAAAATTACTGTATTATATACAGTGGCCCCAAAATTAGTTTGGACACTAGGGAAACTTAAACATGTATTAATGTCTTTCCATTTTGTAAGACAACATCAAACCAAGTGACATTTATTTTTAAAGAAAAATATAAACACATTTTATTAACATTTCACACGATGATGTTTATTTTCATTGTGTTATACAATTTCACTTTCTTATATATTAGTTGTTTTTTTTTTAATACACACTGCTGATTGCTAGCTGCTGGTGTTCAGTTGTCGTATTATTTGTCATTAGATCAGAATGGAATTGCTTTCCCAGTTCCTCCAGACGTTGAGAGGAAATCTGCTAAACAGTCTGCACGAGAGCGACGCAGACTAGCAAACCTGCAGGTAATTCACACTGAAACATCTAAACATATGTCTGTATAGTAACTTACAGACTAAAGTGCAAAAAATACTGATTTAATTGCATGCTATTGCATTTTATTTTCCGTTTTTTTTTTCACGTGTCAGTTGATTCATTTTTAGATATTTTGGACAAACATGAAGTTATCGGATAATCTTCCCACATCGTAAAATAGATATGTGGGGGCATGTTAGAACGAGCCGTTTTAGGTAGGCGTGGCTGACTCTTAACTTTTATAAAGAATATCTCTTTGGATTTGAGACTTTAGTCTTTGCAACTTTACAGATCTTCTTTATGCACCAAGAGCTTGTAACACTCCAAAGAGAAAGGAAAACTTGAAATCGCATCATATGACCCCTTTAAAAAAAAACAAAAAAAAAACATTTTGCACAGTTCATGATATGCAATATTTCAACATTTTTAAACAAACAAAAAAATAGGAATTCATTTTTTTTATAGAATTTATAAATAAATTCTAAAAATAAAACAAAAAGTTAAATAATTAAATAAAAATGTTCTGCTCTGTTCTGCATAGTTTTGTTGTTTTTAAAAAACAGTTTTTAAATCAATTTGAGTAGATAGTGAAGGAAAGGCAGCTAACAAGTGGCCACCACACGAGAACACTTTAGTACGATTTAATACTGATAGCATCCCAGGATGCACCTAATAAAGTCAGACGAGAGAATGTCCAGAGCGATAATTTAAGCATAGGCTTACTACCTTGAAGTAACTTACATATAGTTATATAGCTTTTTCCCCTGGATTTATCACTACATAATTCCTATTTTCACATTTTGCATATGATTTGCATAATTTATATATGATGACATTACTTTAATCATCATAAAGCATGAAATAATAAACAGTGTATATGTGTGTTTAGTCTGCAGAGAGGAAGCCAGTGCAGCTGCAGTCCTTCAATATGAGGAAGTACAGAGACACAAACACTCCCAGGATGAAGGAACTACAAGCCTTCAGCCATCACACCGCCACAGCAGGTGTGTGTGTGTGTCTGTCTCGATGTATGTTTTATGATTCTGGAGATGCACAACTTGTTTCAATTATGTGTTTAGGAGACTCTGATGATGATGATGAAGCAAATGGTGGTGATGAGCATTTTACCCTGCAGTCTCCAGGCAGGCCCAGCTCTATTGATACAGCCACTACCGAGCACTGGATTCGAGCGGAGTCATCAGACACACTCAGGAGGCTGATGTCCGCCTCTGAACTTTAAGACGGACCATTACATACATGACCGCACTGTGTGAGCTTGTTATTGCAATGCAGTATATATAGGATATTTTATGTAGTCTTCAGATCTCTTAAATAAAAGGATGATCAGCAGAATCTCTACGAGATCAACTGCTTTAACTGCATCACAAAATCTCTTCTGTAAACTGATCTGTGGATCCATGATATCAAGGGGTTCTTTTTAACAAAGAACAGAGGGAATGATACATTTCTAATCTTTTTGTGGTATTTTTTTTCCCAAGACATAAATACTAGCATTTTGACAGATTTTGAAAGTGTTTTTACACCAGGATCACCTGCTCACACCAAGGATGATAATAACTATAATGATGAAGTTTTAAAAATCGTTCAGAATTTTAAAATTTAAATAGCTTAATCCACACATCTATTGCATGACAGTGGCACTTTCAGATGATTTTTTTTCCAACCGATGAATGCTTGACAGCCAATCAGAATCCACCTGAAATTAAAGAGCTTGAGCATATAAAACGGCAGATGATTGTCCGTTGGTGTGGACACTGATTGTGAACAGCCCTTTAGAGTGAATGGCATGTGTGAGAGAAGCATATAGTACTCACTCAGTGCAAAACCTGCTCTTATTTGAACCATTTCGAGACCGCAGACAGACCACGGCTAACAAAGCCCGGCAAGATCAATTCTGCTGTGGCTGATACCATCCATAATCCGGCTGACTATGGATGGTTTTGACTTTTCTTCTTTATGCATTTCTGATCTTAAGCGGTAAATCTGCCTCTGCATCTGGGAGGCTTGCTCCTGTAAACCCTTCTGTAGAAGAGCATCCTTCTCCTGCAATACAACACAAAACCGCCACAAGTGAAAGAATTGCTCTTTGTTTCATGACTGCATGTTATTTTTAATCTTTATCAGCATTAAAGATGTTGATCAGTGCTGTTGTGACCATCTGCTAAGCATGCATGTGTGAACTGTACCATTATTTGTGAGTGTGTTCTTGCTCTGTAGTCATTGGTCAGATGTCTGAGCATGTCTCTGTACTGTCGGTATCCTCCAGATCTCAGGAATGATCCATCAAAAACACATTTTTCCAGTGTATCAAACACTTCACGCAGAACAGCTTTACACTGCTTGATAGATTCTTCTGCTGATATTCATCATACATTTTCCCCTAAAACAAATGAAAGAAACAGAGAAAATGTGATGAACTGTTAAATTTGTACTCTACGTTTGCATAGACACTGTTTATTTGAGCTTTTTGTGTCAGCAGGTACTGTACCATGAGCTCTTGTTGGTAGATCTGGTCATTGTCATTGAAGGACATGGAGATGAAAACTTCAACTGCTTTCTTCTCTGCAATTTTGTGGATGTCAGACAGTTCTTCTGGGCGCATAGGAAGCTGAGCCATGCTGAGCACCTCTGTCATGTAGAACTGCAGAATGAATGCAGCCTGGATGAGCATTCTTTTTAGTAATATTTTGGAAAGAAGAATTGTGTACATGGAAATTATATGATGGCCAATAACTGAAAAATGATGATCACACAAACAAACTGCACTTGAATACAATTGTTAGTATTAAAAAGTTAACAAAAACCAATAAACCCCATAAAACTGCTAGAAAATTGCTCAAGAGACAGATCTACAATTATGACAATGACTAAATCTACAATTATGACAATGCCCCCCCCCCCCCCCCCTTTTTTTGAAGAATGAGGTTGAGGATTCAGGATACAAGACCATATTGAAAACATGTAAAATAAACTTGGATGTAAATATCAAGTTTTAGTGTTTTGAAAAAATAAATGGCAAAATAAATTGTGTAAAATAAGAAATGTTTTAAATTCTGCACTTTTTTAGGTCACCAATCAAACAAGCAAATTTGTGACAAGTCCCATGTGAACTATTTCGTGCAAAGGATCAGATTTTCAAAGACATTCTCAAATCATATTGGAAAACAAGATCGACTTGTGTGCATGCAGATGTCTGAAAGTTAGTGTCTTTTAAAATTTCACAAAATTCACTTCAAAAGTTAAAAACAAACTCTTTATTATCTGATGAAAGTGCTGTTGATAGATTTTGGCACTAACATTATAGCGAGCTATTAATAATGTTAATTGGTCAGCTGTACACAGTTATCAGTTGACAATGATAATCAGCCAGTTCTTCGGCCTGGTTAATATATAGGTCTATCAGTAGTGTTCACATAGTAAAGAAATAAAATATAACAAAAATATACATCAAAATATAACATTCTGTGCATACATTGCTTAAAGTTACAAAGGGCCCATGTACTGATCACTTTGGTAACAGCTTTGTTCATGACAAATGTTGATTCTTGCTTAGAGGTTAATATAATGGGCTTTCAACGTAATTGGCATCTTTTGAGTAAGCAATGCCTATGAATTGAGTTGACTAATTCACTGACTAAAGCAATGACATACTGCTGGAGGATAGTAATTCTGATTCAAGTTATATATGTTTAGGTGTGTGTGAATAAGCTTGTATTCAAAAATAATTTGATGCCAGTGAAATACCAACACCAATCAGTTTAGGGGTGAAGCCTGGCATGAGCCACGTTGTTGCAGTGCCGATACAATTCAAAACACAGCCCAATATGGAGTGTTGTGATGATTTCTCTTTATTCATGTCTGCTTTCAGGCTGTTAATCTCACTCTGTATCTGGGCAGCCTCCCATTGGAAGCCCATCTTTAGAAGAGCTTGATTTTCCTGTAACACACAAGGAGTAACTAAATAATGAATGGTCCAAAAAACAGGATGAGTAATACATTCTGTCAACCACAAAAGCAATATTATGAAGCCTGTAAATTATGGAGCTTATAATATGACAAAACTAATTGAATTTGTATTGTGTAAATTTGAAATATTGACAAGTGTCATTTAACAAAAGATTTTTTTGAACTTGAATATTAAACATTTGAAATGTAACACAACTGAAGTTTTTATAGACATGTATTTTCAAACAGCAAATTTTTTTGTTCTGAAATCTTAGACTGCAAATATCCAGCTTTTAAAAATACAGCTTCAAGTTTTCAAGATGAAGAGGAAATTCGAAACATCAAATTCAATATTCTAAAATTCAATACGTAGAAATTCAGATCGTAGAGAAAATAGGTCAGAGGTAATTCACAGGAGTAGATTATCTCCGAAAAGTCAAACGAAGCATTTTGGCCAGTTTTCTGGTGTGAGCGTGCAGTTTAAGATCTACCTAATCATGAATCGCCCAGAGGTAGCCTAAGTGATTCTTAAACATTTATGGTTTATATACTTATATGTTAAGTTAGCATTCTCAGCATGTGAAACTGATGATGTTTATTAAAAGCACTGTACGTTTTGAATGCTTATATCTTGTAAATGTGAATTTTGTTTTGGAGCACACTAGTTTATAGATAACCTTAAGGCTAAAATATTAATAAAAGCCGGAGAAAAAAAATTTGATTTCACAAGGACTTTAAAGATATTTGAAAAGACAAGTTGTGTATTCATTCTAAAAAAATGCTGGGTTAAAAACAACCCAGCGCTGGGTGAAATATGGACATACCCAGCGATTGGGTTGTTTTGACCCAGAATTTTTTAGAGTTAAACATTTAACCCAATCTTCTTGGTAGTTTTATTTAACTCATCTATTAAAAATAACTATATAAAATGAACCCAACTAGGTTGCAAATAAACATTTATTAATATGTTCAATAAATGAACATTTATTAATAAGTTGAATAAATAATAATTAAATAATCATTTTTAAATTGCTTATTAATAAATGTTCACCTTTTGATTATTGCTGATGCCTCTAGTTATTATGTGTCTTATTTTTTATTTACTACAACCTATTTTGGGTTATATAAATCCATTTAAAACGGTTCTTACTCTCATTTTGGCTTCCAGGACTCGTTCATTGTCTCTTCTCATTCTGTCCTGCTCTCTTTCCATCTGATGAATGATCTGATTCACATGCTCATCATAGGTTCTCTGCATGTCTTTAAATGCCTGCTCCTGTAACCGGTTCTGTTTCTTTAGGCTTCTTTTCTGCTGCTTTAGAATCTCTGTCTTCATCTTCTCCACTGCAAAGTGCAGTGTTTTACTGAACACCTCCACCATCACTCTTGCTTTGTGCATTGTCATTGTCATACTTTTACACCCATTTCTACTAAAAATATCTGAACTACATGGCTGCATGCTTGAATTTATCTGCTTGTCAGTGGATGTAGCTAAAGCAGCTAAACACATTCATTAGAAAGGTGTGCCCACATACTGTACATGTAAAGGTACGCAAGCAAACACTTCACATTTTGCATTGTCATTGTCATCCTTTTACACCCAATTCCACTAACAATATCTAAGAAAACTGCATGGCTGCATGCTTGAATTTATCCACCTTTTAATGGATGTTAGCCTAAACAGCCAAACACATTCATTAGAAAGATGTGTCCACATACATTTAGTCTTGCAGTTAACGTGTGCATGCACACCCAGCAATAAAGATATGCAGTATGAGAGCTTAACAGATATTTAGAATAGAAATTTATGAAAGTGTATTGTCTTGTGTATCATATCATTCTATCAATCAGCCTTAATTGATAGAATGATAGAGAAGTGTGCAGCTGATTTGAATTGTACCCTCTTTCTCCTGTTCTGCTGCATTGAGAGATTGGTCAGCTTGTAGAATCATATTTCCAATATCTTCCTTTGTTTTCAAAAACTTGCTCAACACTGCTTCACTCTGTAGATAAAAATATATATTACATTCAAAGCATCATTCAAAATGTCTGTTTACACAATTACAGTTTTAAATTAGGATTTGTTACAAAAAAACAAAAACAAATAAATAAATCAGTTTACTTATCCTTTTGTCATTCCAAATCTGTTTGTTGTTTATTTGTGTTTTGTACCATTATTTGTGAGTCTGTTCTTGCTCTGTACTCTTCTGACAGCTGTCTGAGCATGTCTATGTACTTTTGGGATCCTCCAGGTTTCAGGTATGATCTGTCAGAAATGCCTTTTTCCAGTGTATCAAACACATCATGCAGAACTTCCTCACACTGCATGCGAGATGCATCATAATTCTGCTGGCACATCTGTTGATATTCATCATAAATCTTCCCCTAAAAAGCGAGAAGCAATAAGAGAATGTGTAAAAAATAAAAGTTTGTGCATTTTTATTTTTGAACAGAATGCTCTGCCTTCGCATAGACTAAATCTATTTGACCTGTACACATGTTCTCTCTATAACAAAAAAACAGTTGCACTGCATCCCAATTCATATAACTCTTTTTATCCAAGACTATAGGCTTCTTTTGCCAGGTTCCTAAGACATTGTGTGTATTCTGTTGTCTGACTCTCTCTTTTTCTTTCTGTCTGTCTATCTTAGTTACTTTGATATGTGTTTCAGCAGGTACCATGAGCTCTTTTTGGTAGATCTGGTCATTGTCATTGAAGGACACAGAGATGAAAACTTCAACGGCCTTCTTCTCTGCAACTGTGTGGATTTTGGACAGTTCTTCTGGGTTCATTGGAAGCTGAACCAAGTTGAACAACTCTGTCACGTAGAGCTGCAGGGCCTCCTCCACAGCACGGACGTTCTGGATCTTAGCCAGAGACACGACTGCGTTCTCCAGACATGGAACATTTCCGCTGCGGATCGCCTCTACATAAACCTCAGCAAGGACCAAACGTCGTGAGCCCACCCTCCCAGGCCCCCCCCCCCCCCCTTTTTTTGAAGAATGAGGTTGAGGATTCAGGATACAAGACCATATTGAAAACATGTAAAATAAACTTGGATGTAAATATCAAGTTTTAGTGTTTTGAAAAAATAAATGGCAAAATAAATTGTGTAAAATAAGAAATGTTTTAAATTCTGCACTTTTTTAGGTCACCAATCAAACAAGCAAATTTGTGACAAGTCCCATGTGAACTATTTCGTGCAAAGGATCAGATTTTCAAAGACATTCTCAAATCATATTGGAAAACAAGATCGACTTGTGTGCATGCAGATGTCTGAAAGTTAGTGTCTTTTAAAATTTCACAAAATTCACTTCAAAAGTTAAAAACAAACTCTTTATTATCTGATGAAAGTGCTGTTGATAGATTTTGGCACTAACATTATAGCGAGCTATTAATAATGTTAATTGGTCAGCTGTACACAGTTATCAGTTGACAATGATAATCAGCCAGTTCTTCGGCCTGGTTAATATATAGGTCTATCAGTAGTGTTCACATAGTAAAGAAATAAAATATAACAAAAATATACATCAAAATATAACATTCTGTGCATACATTGCTTAAAGTTACAAAGGGCCCATGTACTGATCACTTTGGTAACAGCTTTGTTCATGACAAATGTTGATTCTTGCTTAGAGGTTAATATAATGGGCTTTCAAAGTAATTGGCATCTTTTGAGTAAGCAATGCCTATGAATTGAGTTGACAAATTCACTGACTAAAGCAATGACATACTGCTGGAGGATAGTAATTCTGATTCAAGTTATATATGTTTAGGTGTGTGTGAATAAGCTTGTATTCAAAAATAATTTGATGCCAGTGAAATACCAACACCAATCAGTTTAGGGGTGAAGCCTGGCATGAGCCACGTTGTTGCAGTGCCGATACAATTCAAAACACAGCCCAATATGGAGTGTTGTGATGATTTCTCTTTATTCATGTCTGCTTTCAGGCTGTTAATCTCACTCTGTATCTGGGCAGCCTCCCATTGGAAGCCCATCTTTAGAAGAGCTTGATTTTCCTGTAACACACAAGGAGTAACTAAATAATGAATGGTCCAAAAAACAGGATGAGTAATACATTCTGTCAACCACAAAAGCAATATTATGAAGCCTGTAAATTATGGAGCTTATAATATGACAAAACTAATTGAATTTGTATTGTGTAAATTTGAAATATTGACAAGTGTCATTTAACAAAAGATTTTTTTGAACTTGAATATTAAACATTTGAAATGTAACACAACTGAAGTTTTTATAGACATGTATTTTCAAACAGCAAATTTTTTTGTTCTGAAATCTTAGACTGCAAATATCCAGCTTTTAAAAATACAGCTTCAAGTTTTCAAGATGAAGAGGAAATTCGAAACATCAAATTCAATATTCTAAAATTCAATACGTAGAAATTCAGATCGTAGAGAAAATAGGTCAGAGGTAATTCACAGGAGTAGATTATCTCCGAAAAGTCAAACGAAGCATTTTGGCCAGTTTTCTGGTGTGAGCGTGCAGTTTAAGATCTACCTGATCATGAATCGCCCAGAGGTAGCCTAAGTGATTCTTAAACATTTATGGTTTATATACTTATATGTTAAGTTAGCATTCTCAGCATGTGAAACTGATGATGTTTATTAAAAGCACTGTACGTTTTGAATGCTTATATCTTGTAAATGTGAATTTTGTTTTGGAGCACACTAGTTTATAGATAACCTTAAGGCTAAAATATTAATAAAAGCCGGAGAAAAAAAATTTGATTTCACAAGGACTTTAAAGATATTTGAAAAGACAAGTTGTGTATTCATTCTAAAAAAATGCTGGGTTAAAAACAACCCAGCGCTGGGTGAAATATGGACATACCCAGCGATTGGGTTGTTTTGACCCAGAATTTTTTAGAGTTAAACATTTAACCCAATCTTCTTGGTAGTTTTATTTAACTCATCTATTAAAAATAACTATATAAAATGAACCCAACTAGGTTGCAAATAAACATTTATTAATATGTTCAATAAATGAACATTTATTAATAAGTTGAATAAATAATAATTAAATAATCATTTTTAAATTGCTTATTAATAAATGTTCACCTTTTGATTATTGCTGATGCCTCTAGTTATTATGTGTCTTATTTTTTATTTACTACAACCTATTTTGGGTTATATAAATCCATTTAAAACGGTTCTTACTCTCATTTTGGCTTCCAGGACTCGTTCATTGTCTCTTCTCATTCTGTCCTGCTCTCTTTCCATCTGATGAATGATCTGATTCACATGCTCATCATAGGTTCTCTGCATGTCTTTAAATGCCTGCTCCTGTAACCGGTTCTGTTTCTTTAGGCTTCTTTTCTGCTGCTTTAGAATCTCTGTCTTCATCTTCTCCACTGCAAAGTGCAGTGTTTTACTGAACACCTCCACCATCACTCTTGCTTTGTGCATTGTCATTGTCATACTTTTACACCCATTTCTACTAAAAATATCTGAACTACATGGCTGCATGCTTGAATTTATCTGCTTGTCAGTGGATGTAGCTAAAGCAGCTAAACACATTCATTAGAAAGGTGTGCCCACATACTGTACATGTAAAGGTACGCAAGCAAACACTTCACATTTTGCATTGTCATTGTCATCCTTTTACACCCAATTCCACTAACAATATCTAAGAAAACTGCATGGCTGCATGCTTGAATTTATCCACCTTTTAATGGATGTTAGCCTAAACAGCCAAACACATTCATTAGAAAGATGTGTCCACATACATTTAGTCTTGCAGTTAACGTGTGCATGCACACCCAGCAATAAAGATATGCAGTATGAGAGCTTAACAGATATTTAGAATAGAAATTTATGAAAGTGTATTGTCTTGTGTATCATATCATTCTATCAATCAGCCTTAATTGATAGAATGATAGAGAAGTGTGCAGCTGATTTGAATTGTACCCTCTTTCTCCTGTTCTGCTGCATTGAGAGATTGGTCAGCTTGTAGAATCATATTTCCAATATCTTCCTTTGTTTTCAAAAACTTGCTCAACACTGCTTCACTCTGTAGATAAAAATATATATTACATTCAAAGCATCATTCAAAATGTCTGTTTACACAATTACAGTTTTAAATTAGGATTTGTTACAAAAAAACAAAAACAAATAAATAAATCAGTTTACTTATCCTTTTGTCATTCCAAATCTGTTTGTTGTTTATTTGTGTTTTGTACCATTATTTGTGAGTCTGTTCTTGCTCTGTACTCTTCTGACAGCTGTCTGAGCATGTCTATGTACTTGTGGGATCCTCCAGGTTTCAGGTATGATCTGTCAGAAATGCCTTTTTCCAGTGTATCAAACACATCATGCAGAACTTCCTCACACTGCATGCGAGATGCATCATAATTCTGCTGGCACATCTGTTGATATTCATCATAAATCTTCCCCTAAAAAGCGAGAAGCAATAAGAGAATGTGTAAAAAATAAAAGTTTGTGCATTTTTATTTTTGAACAGAATGCTCTGCCTTCGCATAGACTAAATCTATTTGACCTGTACACATGTTCTCTCTATAACAAAAAAACAGTTGCACTGCATCCCAATTCATATAACTCTTTTTATCCAAGACTATAGGCTTCTTTTGCCAGGTTCCTAAGACATTGTGTGTATTCTGTTGTCTGACTCTCTCTTTTTCTTTCTGTCTGTCTATCTTAGTTACTTTGATATGTGTTTCAGCAGGTACCATGAGCTCTTTTTGGTAGATCTGGTCATTGTCATTGAAGGACACAGAGATGAAAACTTCAACGGCCTTCTTCTCTGCAACTGTGTGGATTTTGGACAGTTCTTCTGGG